TGCTCTCTTCTTGTTGACGGCTCATGGAGCGTTGACCGCGATGACAGGCGATACTCTTGGTGGTACTCCGCCACCGAAAGAGCACTGAGAGAGTGCTCTTGGAGCAGTTGCGGAGCGCAGTTGGGGGTCTGGGACCGACGAGGCAGGGGCGGCGCGACTGTCTCTGGAGACGTTGAGCCGTGGGCCGGAGTGGGAGTGCCAGGCATCAAGGATGCGAACGCGTTTGTGAGCTCGTGGAGCTGCAGAACGCACAGGTGAGGTCTAGTGACCTCCGTCGTCTTGACAAGACGTGACCTCGCTGAGGAAAGTTCGAGAACGGAATGTTCTCATCTTAGTGAGGGAGAGTGTAACGGGGTTACATGGTGTGGAACACACAGGGGTACGAAGTACCCGGCGAGTTAACAAACTCTCAGTACATAAGTTGGAGAGTTAACAAGGTCTCTCAGTACGTTGGCTGAAAGCCACACGTTATGCATTTGATTAGGTTTAACTATGCTAGATAGTTAAAGAGATACATTTACCCCTAGGCGGCTTGGCCGCAATAATAGTAAATAAATCACTTCTGGTTTTGAAGCATAAAAGTTAAGGTGTTAACTTTGAGCCCTGGTCTTGGGCTGTAAGTGTCCTTTGGATAAGGAACTTAGTATTAGTGACTCTTTGAGTCGAACGTCTTCCTCTGACGCTAAAGCTACGGCAGCCCCGCTGCACTTGAGATCGGTATGTGCCGTGGTGTGTACACACGTACGTCTTCGCGTACTGATCCCACTCGGCCGGGATTTTAGTCGCCGCGGAGCCCTGAGCATCTATCCTAGCATTCCGTACAGCCACTGAAGTGTTTGTTCTCACTCGAAATATCTAGCAGACAAACAAAACGTGATGAGACGGTATAGACAAACGCAACAGATAACTTAATAATGTACCTGGAGTGACTGCGCTTGGTACAGCGCTAGATAGGCCTCGAAGTCCTTCCACGACTGAAATTGTGTCTCTTGTGGTGGCGAGGCGAAGATAGAAATCTGACCCGGTTTTTCAGTTGCGCTACTGGTGACCGTTTCCGCCTCAGCAGAAGTCGGGCTCGACACTGGCTGCCAGTCACTCACGGAGCCGTCGGAGTCGTTGCTGGCGCTATCGCTGTCGATACCCTCCAGTGCCAGGGGGCGCTTCTGTGCGCTGCGTGGCCGTGGTGCCATTTTCGTGCGTTTGGAGCCACGCGTTTGCTGGAGGGGGAGGATTTTTTGTGTGGGAGGGGTATACGCAGAGTATACGCTGTACCGAGTTCGGATATGGAAGATATCAGCAAATCCTAGCAAATCCGAAGATAACACAAGATTTGCTACGAGTGGGATGCTCCCAGTCTGGCAAAATACTCACTTCCATTGAAAAAAACACTGCCGATCTAATTCCTTCTGGGCTTTGTACAAATATTAGTTTGAAAAGGAAATGCTACAATATCAGTTATAATTGATGATATACCTCAAAATCAGTGTCTGGGTTATTCTTTTTCTCATTAACCACGGAGTCAACGGTGTTGGGAGCACAACCAAGGCAATCAGAGACCAGTTGGCATGTCCTGATGCCTTTGAAGAGGCCTTGTTCCTTCTGGCTTTTGAAATACTCGTAGCTGTTCACAATCACCCGCTTCTCTCCTAGGCAGAACTCGTGCTTGCCGGACATTTTCGCTGACCTTAAAGGATGCTTCTGGCTAATTGATGAGTTCTACCGCCCTCTCAAGACACTAAGTTATATATAGCACTTTTATTTATATCAAACAGACAATTCTTAGACTTTTTACAGTCTGTATAGTATGGGTTACAATTTCTGGCCCAATGCTCAATGTCGCTAAACAGAGGACTGTGTGAGTTTGGCTTTATTTCATTGGTCGCCACCATTTCAAATTCAAGTCAACTTGTTAATCACATTACAAGTCCTACGCAGTCTAGCGCCCTTGGTGCAGTCCTACGTCGTGTTTATCTGGTGATGCGGAACGAGCGCACCTTGGCCAGCAGCTCCTTGGCTTCACCCTTGGAGAAATGTTCACGGACAGGCTCCAGAATCCTGAAAGGCCAAGAAAACAATTAGATAAAAAATAAATAAAAAAGAAACAGAGACGCACTCATTCAGGTACTTGCTCAGTGCCGCCTTGAGGTCGGTACCGTTCACCTGGCGGGCGACGAAGGCGTCCTCAAGCTCCTGGTAGGCAGCAAACGTCTTCTCCGAGCCGTCCGCAAGCTTCACAGTCACACCTTGAGCAGCGAAACGAGGACAAATGATGTGCTTCATGTAGTCGAGGATCGGGTTGGCCTCCACGACACCTTCCGGACAAAAGGCGTTCTCGATCTTGCGACGCACATCTTCAGCTGCGTCCTCCATGAAGATAGCCGACTCCGGGTCACTCTTCGACATCTTCTCCTGCCCTTCCTTCAGACCCATGAGCATGTGGTGGCTGAGGATAATCGGCTTGAAGCGAATCTTGGCCTGGTCGCAGTAGTCGCGCGCGAGCATGTTGATTTTACGTTGATCAATACCCAGTTGGCAGATGTCGGCCTTGAGGTTGAAGATGTCGGCGCACTGCATCAACGGGTAGAGGATCTGCGCGGCTTGCATGCCTTCCTTCTCCTTGCGACCCATAATGGTACAACACTTGAGCGTACGCGCAATGGTCGTTCGGCGGGCAATGTCCATCACACGCAGCCAGTACGACCCACTGTGAGAAATAATCTTATGGGACGCCCACAGGAACTCCACATTGGTCATGTCCATCCCCACAGACTTCCAGATCTCCACCATGTATTGCCCCACCATGCGGATCTTGTCCAGGTCGCCGCCCATCTTGTTATTCAGCATGGCGAACCAGTCAGCCACCCAGAAGCGGAATACGCTGCCAGCTGACGTCAGTTTGTTCACGTTCACTGTACGAAGAACACCCTGAGCAATGTGCATACGTCCGGAAGGCTCAAAGCCATCGTAGCACACAGGGTGGTCCTTCTTCTCCAGTAGATCCTCCAGCTCGTTCTCCTGGATACATTCTTCGCCCACAGAGCGAGCTACAGCGTAACGTTCCTCAAGTGACAGCGAGGATGGCTTCCACTCCTTAACAGACTCGGGGAATCCAGGCAACGAGAGGTTGGCCAGCTTGTCGCTGTCCGGGATCGGAGACACTTTCAGCTTCTTGATACTCGAGAACATCGTCTTGAGCGGACCACTTGCGAAGTGTTGGCGCACAGGCTCGAGCAGCGCGTTGATGTACTTGGTCAGACATGGCTTCAGGTCAGCCGGGTGCACGTTTTCACTGGAAAAAGCTGCCTCAAGCTCGTCGTACGTGGCAAAAGTGAGGTTGCCGCCGTTCTTCTCACTGCGCTCAAGCGTGACACCGTCCGCGTGGAGAGGGAAGACCAGGTACTTCATGTAGTTCAGCACTGGGTTGCCTTCCACCTCGCCAGGCACGCAGTACGCCTTCTTGATCTTCGTCTTGACCTCAGCGGCCGTGTCATCGACGTAGATGGCCGACTCGGCGTCCGTTGTAGTCATCTTGAACTGCTCCTGCTTCAGACCGAGCAGCAGCGGGTGTGTGAGGAAGACAGGTTTGTTCGAAAGCTCCTTTTGAGCGATGTAGTCGCGCACGAGCTCATTGCCGGCATCCTGGTCAGCGCCGAGCTGGTAGATGTCGGCTTGCAGCAGGAAACCGTCTGCGAGCTGCATGAGCGGGTACAGAATGCGGTTCGTGTTGTGCACGGCGTCATCCGTCTTGCGGCCCATGATGGGCGCACATTGCTGCACGCGCTCGACCGTGAAGCGGCCGGCAGCGTCCAGCACCTGCGACCAGTAGGCGCCGGCATGGCGTGCGGTCTCTGTGGACGCCAGCATGATCTCTAGGTTGGGCAGCTTGTCGGCGTCCAGACCAAGCGCTTTCCATACCTCCACCATGTAAGTACTGACGCTCTGCAGCTTCTTGAGGTCTCCGCCGAACTTGTTGTTGAGCAGAGCGTGCGTATCCGCCACCAATAGACGCACGTGGCAGCCAGCGTCCATGAGGCGCTTAGCATTAAGCGCACGTAGTAGACCGGAAGCCAACGTCACACGACCTGAGGGCTCGAAGCCGTCGTAGGCGATGGGGTGCGTCTTCTCAGTGAAGAGCGCGCGTAGCTGGGCATCGGTCTCCGCAGACAGTGGGGCGCCAGTGATGGCTGCGAGCTTGGCGAGCTTCTCATCGACAGGCAGAGCGGCGGCTTCGGGCACAGCGGGAACAGGCGCATCTAGTGTCAAGGCAGAGAAGCCCTCCTGCACGTCAGCGGCAGTGGCGGGAGCGGGCGGGGGTGTAGCCATTGGGATCGAGGTTAATCCAAAGTGACGGCGGTGGTCTTAATGCACCTGGAGTCGGTATTACCAGAGCGATTACGGTAGTTTTTGAACGTCTCGTGATCATTGTCGCGCCAAGGTAGCTTCAAGAAAAATTGCGTGGTGCACATGGCTCCAACGCGTTCGCACGACATCCTTTTTACCGGTGGCAAGTTTTGTACGTTGACGCCCCGTCGGTGGCGTGCTGAGCTGGCGGCAACTCTCTTGCAACGTGTCGCAGCTGCAACTTCAGGTTTCGCCTTCGGCAATAATGGACGGTCGCCGCATCGGTCGTAGCCTTGCGTTCGCCATCGACGCATTCGTTCAGAGCGAGTAGTACAGTTTTTAGTAGCTTGCGAAAACTTCCATCGGCTCCAGTTCTATTTAAAATCGAGTCGCGAAGCGCTGGGCATCATCTTCCGTGAACATGGCAATGTCTCGCTGTGATTTGCGTTCTTTTTCTGCCTGCGCTCTTGTTAAAACTCATTCGATTGGATACCTTCGGATTCATGCCGTTCCCTATTTTTAAAGCGGATCGGTGTCATACTTATCTGAGGTAACCGTTTTTTATTCAACGGCCGTCGCTATTTATAGCCAAATGTAGCGCTCTGCTGCCACCGAATTCAGCCTTGGGCGAAATAGTCCCGTTCAAAATGCTGCTGGCAAGATAATTTTTCGTGGTCTTTCCTCAGCAGCACGAAGCACGGACAAATCGCCTTTGCTGCTGACGCAATGTGCATGTGCTCGTTCAACCTCCTGCCGTTCTTGCCGCAATGGTCCAGCTCGTGCAATGACATGGGGCTTCGCAAGCTATCGCCCGTCAAATCCTCGAGGCCACGACGCAAGGTGCGCCCTCGCCACGCCAAGCGCGCCTGGTGCGACAGACTGATCTACTCCAACCTGGTGTACGCGCTTGCGGCGCTCATTTCATTCAGCTGCGACCAGAACATCTGCGGTGTGCTGCAAATGGGCGCAGCCATCGCGTCCACGATGTTCCACCGCTCCAAGGAGACCAAGTACCTGTTGCTAGACGCGCTCATCAGCGGCACGTTGGGTATTATCTTTATTTTCGCTGGACAGCACACGTTTAACAACGAATGGTACGGCATCCTGGCCATCAAGCTGGTGCTGGCTGTACTCTGCGTGTTTACGTGGCTCTACTGCGGTATGCCCGGCGGAGAGCGTTACGACAAGTGGCACAACCGCTGGCACTACGTCTCGGGCGCGACCACGATCTCGACGACACTCTTCCTGACGATGTACCTGCCGGAGTTCGATCTGCTCATGCACGAGCTTATCCAGGACGTCGTAGTTGTCCGAAGTATGTTTAGCTGAAAAGGAGGGTGATCAGACGACGGTGACTGTGGTTACTGCAGCGGATAATAACGGTGGATCCAGTCGTCGTCCCCAGCATTAGCGGCAAGGTCAACGGCGTGTAATGAAAGCCAACCGCTAACAGTTTTCGATTAACAGTTGGCTGAGTGCCGCTTGAAGCACCTCCCCGAAGCGCTCTGGGGTTGGTCCCTGCAAAGCCGGAATACAACCGTAAAAACGGTGAAAGTCGCTAGCCCATCATTTTTCTAATAGATTTTGTGCGCATACGATTGGATTCTGTATCGTGTCATGTCAGGCTATAGAATCTTTTGGCATTATACAACTAAGGCTGCTTTTCGTTTTTAAGCAGAGGTTCCTCTGCTATTAGGACAGCGAGTTTACGCGAGTGCAGCAGCTTCTGGCTGTGGTTCAGCGAAGATATCTTACAGGATAATTACTGCATGGATACTATGCAATGCAGTACGTTATTGAGTGAGGACGCACTACACTACTGTATATCTTTGCCAAAGATTTTATGGAGCTCATCCGTGGACCAAGTTTCGGTGCCTCCTAAGCATCGCCACTGCCCGGAAAATACCGCGAAGGTGGCAATGAAATCAGGGGATCAGCTCACTTTCCTCGGGGCTTCCTTGCCCTTTATCGGTCTCGTTTCTGTTGGCAAGGCTTGGATCTCACCCTCTGTTCGTTCAGTCTGTATTAAATGACTTGGATCTTGCGCACGAATTAACTCGATGAAAACGTCGTTCCGAATTCGGAATTCAAAGTGCTGGCAGTGCCAGCCTGGCACTACTGGACCCTGCAGACATGTAGCAACGCTTTGAAGCCGTTGGGAAACGCTAAGCTAGTAGATTGTTGTCACTGCCATTTTCTGATTTAGTGTCCAGCAGCATTCGTAAGTAATACGTGTGAGCTGCACGAAAGGGCTTTGCCATCAATGCCGCGGACGTCCACGTTCGGGCAGGAAATCCTCATTCGGGATCCCTGCCGCTATGCAAGCGCAAACGTGGTGTTGTGAAGCAGTCGAATCCTAATCATTGCACGGGAAGGAACCCGTGCCGGCCGATACAAAACTTTTGCTCAATAACAAAAGTCGTCTTGCCCTTTTCTGTAATCTCGAGCGGGTTTTCCGCTTTTTGCCTGCATTCATACATCAGCAGCGCAAGAGAGAGCTCTCCGTTGCGGTGATCACTCCCTCGCAATTGAGACCAGTCCAGTCGCTATCCGGCGTCATCGTGGCCGTATTTATAGGCTCCGAGTGGTAGTTACGCGACGTCGCATTGGTTTGCTCCTGCTGGTCACTTTTTCTCTATTTCCTGTGTCGACTCGTCATGGCTAGCAAGCTCAACGCGTTCCTGGCCGCGGTGCCTGCGAACGCCAACGTGCCCAGCCCGCCCAAGACAGCGCCGGCCGTGATGGCGTTCCCGCAGCTTGAGTTCAAGGAAGCGCCCGAGAACGTGGGCGCATTCGCCCCCACCACGCCGCAGCCGCCCGTGGTGCGTCGTCGCCAGCGCAAAAATAACCCCAGCCTCAAGCTGGAGCTGGACTCGAACCAGGAACATGACAGACCTGAGGATGATCGAGATATGTCGCGTCCTTCCCCTCTAAAGAGCTTCATGGCCGCCCAAGCAGCCGCCGTTAAGCTGAAGGCACAGACGGAGAAGCACGATATCCCAACACCAGACTTGGCGCGCACAAGCAGCGGGTCCGAGCTGGACGCCAAGTCGGAGGCGGGACCCATGCGCATGGCCAGCGTACAAGGCTCGCACCACCGTCGCGTGTCCACCGACACAACGCTATTTAACCGGTATCTGCGTCAACAAGCAGACCTGGATATTAGTCACGACACGGTGCAGTATTTCGCAAATGTCCCGGTCATTACCGCCACTGCAGCTGCCGTTGATGCTCTGGAATGCGAAATGAGTGTGGATAATAACGCCGACGAGGAGCACGCGATCATCGTACAGGAACCCGAGGAGATCCTTGCTGTCTTCCGACTCGGAGGCACCATCCCTGTGTCCAGTGCGCTGGAAATTGTACGACGAGCTACGAACCTCATGGCACTAGAGCAGAACGTCATCTCGATTCGTGCGCCGTACACTCTAGTGGGGGATCTCCACGGCCAGTTCCAGGACTTGCTCGAACTCTTCCGAGTACACGGCTCTCCTGCCGTGGACAACCCGTTCTTGTTCCTAGGTGACTATGTGGACCGTGGCGTGTCTTCGTGCGAGATAATCTTATTGCTCTTGGCCTTCAAAGTGGCTTTCCCGGACAGTGTCCATTTATTGCGAGGCAATCACGAGTGTCGGAGTTTGAGTACATTTTACGGTTTCCGTGCCGAATGCCTCAAGAAGTACGGACCTGTGCTCTATAACCGTATGATCAAGTGTTTCGAGAGTATGCCACTGGCTGCACGACTCGAGACAGCGCACGGCACGTTCCTGGCTGTACATGGCGGACTGTCGCCCGATATTCAGTTCGTGGGGGACATTAACGGACAAGTGAACCGCTTTATGGAGCCTGAACCAAACGGAGCTCTGTGCGACTTGTTGTGGTCAGATCCTGCGAAGGGCGAAGCTCAGGAGCAGGAGTGGGCACCCAATGGGATGCGTGGCTGCTCGTTCACATTTAATGAACGCGCCTGTCGCGAATTTCTGAAGCGCAACAACCTCCTGGCCATTGTACGTGCTCATGAACTGGAAGAAAATGGTTATAAGGAGCACTTTCGACACGAAGGAGACCGCACAGAAGAAGACGAGGACGGGAAACTGGCTCTACCTGCGGTTGTGACGGTGTTTTCAGCTCCGGAGTACTGCAACACGAACCACAATGTCGGCGCGACGCTGAAAATTCCCTGGGAAAGACAAAATGGTCGTCTGCTGCAGTATCAGCAGCATAAACGCAGTCAATGTTCCGAGTTTGAGTTCACGCGAGCCAGCGAGGAGACGGCGGCCAAGGCGTTTCTGGAGGAGAATTTGCCGTTCTTGCCGATTGACTTTTACGACTTGGTGAATGTGTGTCGGCAGCTGCGGCTCACTCTTGAGAGAGCAGCGAGTATCACCCCAGCACCTGCTTCAGAACCTATTCGCAAGCTGTCGCTTGTGTCGTCGCTGTGTGCGCCAGCAACTAGTCTGGAAACGAGGATCGAGGAGGAAGACCCAGAGCTTCCCGTGTCGCCACCTGCTTCTGCACCAGCAAATGAAGTGGAGAAGGAAGCTACAGCAACTCTGAAGGCAGTGGGCGAGTCGTTGCAGGATTGGGAACTTGTTGAGACGAAGAGTGTCGAGGTTGACACTAGGAAGGTGAAGAAAGACAAGAAGAAGGAGAAAAAGGAGAAAAAACTGAAGGAGAAGATCGAAAAGAAGAAGCAAAAGGACAAGAAGAAGTGGGATACGAGTCGAATTGCTAGCGGTTGGAAGCTCTGCCCTGGGTTTGTACGCTTCTACGACCGCTACTTCTCAAGAGACAGTATGAAGAAGAGCGAGCCGGAGATCACCTCAGCTCCTGGCCATCTAGGCAAGCGGCCGTCGTGGATCTCAAACTACAAAACACCTTTTAGACGCTCGACTTCGACCGGCGAGGCCCCCACCGACACTGAAACTGTCGACACCGTCTTGGACTCTACCGGTCCTGCTCGACGGAAGAGTATGACGGATTGGATGCCCATGCCGTCGTTCGAGCAGGTGGCGCAGCTGACGAACACGCTTCAGGGTCACATTCCCGTGCAGTCGAACGGCGTCAATGTATTCACGAAGGCACAGTGGCAAGCTCTGAAGTTGTACTTCTCGATCCTGGATCTGGATGGCAATGGCGTTTTGATGGAAGAGAGCTTCGTTGTTCTCCTCGCAGAGCAAGACAGCGGTGGGTTGAGTTAAAGTGAAGTGAGGATGTGAATTTGTTGCTAATTTAAATTGTTGTTGGTGTTGTGTGCAGATGCATACGCGACTGAAGACGAACTGAGTCTGTTGATGGAAGTCATGGACTGCAACGCCGACAATATGATCACTGAGCAAGATTTCTTGCTATTCGCATACCGAGCCTTACTGCGATGGAAAAAAGCTCTACATGGCTCCGACTAGAGTGTGCAGGAGCGGAATCGAACTGACGTAGCGAAGTATGAACAATGCCAGATTAGAATCCACAGTAGCGCGGCATATGCCCATAATGAAGAACGAGAAATCTATTAGTTGAAATTGTTTTTTTAGTCAATGTTAGTGTATCATTGTGCGTGGGGAGTTTCTCTGAGTGGGGGAGCCTCGAGCTCGTGTTGGACCTGGCTTGCTGATATCCTTTGGGGTCATGGTCACGTTGAAGCTCTTGGTGCCAACTGTGCCGGGGATGGAATAAGCTCCAGGCCCGACAGTCACAGGCACCGTCGGCTTCACACGGAACCGAGCTTCATTCCCGACTGTCAAGCGGAGATCTCTTGATCTCGTGTAGGCTCCCGTATCCTCGGCACTGTCCTTATACGCCCCTGGACCAGGAAGATCGCACACATCTCTCGTATCGAACACGGATCGTTCTTGCGTCGACAGGAATGGTACACGAGGGGATAGAAATTCTGTGGCATCCGATGAGGATGCGACTTCAGACACAGCTGAAAACCCCTTAGAGACGTTGTACTGCCCCACGGCTGGAGTAGCCTGATCGCCGACACAATGTACGTGAGGTGGGGCTTGAGATGGGGCATTCTTCGAAAATCTAGTTGAGCCAGACTTGAATGCAGCCGAATTCAAATAATGCTTTGTGTCGAAAGATCCCGACTCGGAATAGGCCCCAGGTCCCGGAGTGAACTCGTTTTCATCCCAGACCTGCCGTTCTGATGTCGTCCCAAAGACTCCGTTTCTCCCGATGCAGAGTTTTCCTTTGACGGATTGAGTGAGCGACCGCGGAGTCTCGCTCTTGTATGCTCCGGGACCTGGAGCTGAAGGTGTCTTTGTACGAGCAAGACATGGTCGCTCTGTAGCACACGAAAAGCCTACTCCTTCGGCTCGGTGATGCGGAATCGAAGCCCCGCTTGCTTTCCTCCCAAGTTGTTTTGATAAAGGATTCGAGCGAGCAGTGCCGTATCTGCCAGGACCTGGTGTCGTAGTGTACGAAGGGTTTCTAAAGGGGGTAGTAATGTGCGATGTCAGTTCCGTACGACCTGTAGTAGATCCAAATGCTTCCGTCTTAACACCATAGCCACCAAATCTGTTTTGTTCTTGGCGATATCGTTCAGCTCGCTCTTCCTTGGCGAGAAGTTCCTGCTCTCGTTCGGGGTCGTACACTCCAACAGGCTTCGGTACTTGAAGAATAGGCACCTTGGACGCAAAGACAGCACTCTGTCGAGTACTTTGATGTCGACTACGCCGCGCACCAATTCGTGGTCGCTGGCCCTCTGGAGCCGATATTGTTTGTGGTGTTGCAGTGACCCTTGATATTCCGGAGACGGAGTCGGTGTCGTACTGACCAGGACCCGGTAGACTTGTAAGTCTCTTGTTCTCCTCCCATACTTCACGTTTTGCGGTGGACTTGAGCGAAGGAGCACCGTTCTTCTTTTCATTCCAGATCAAGTTGTGTCTACTGTAAGCAGCGGGCCCCACTGTGTCGTCCCCGACACCAGAGTAGATTTTTTCAGGTGCAGATTGTCTTTGAAGCTCCACACCTACCTGTACATACCCGTAGCTTTGTTGTCGCTGTGGAATAGCAGGCACCGACGGTTTAATTAAATGTGCGAACTTGCGGGGCCATTGGTGTTGGTGCTCGCGTTGGTTGTTGGACGGCGGTGATGAGGACGGACGTAGATAGCTGCCTGGACCAGGATTGTCCTGGACGCTAGACGCACTAAAAACGGTGGATCCCGGTGCACTTGGCGCAAAGCGAGCGATCTAGCGACAGGAGTTACGGTTAGTAGCTTGTCAGAAGGAGCTTCAATATGCTGTTGATTGCGTACTTTAGAAGCGAAGACATTCGACGGCGGAGAACCGCGTTGGTTGCGCGATTCGTCAAGGTATGCTCCGGGGCCTATTTACATCAAGAATCTCGTTTTGTAAGGTGGTGGATTGAATCTAGCGAGCCACAACGAACTACCAGGTGTGGTCGCGGACGTCGTCTTGTTCTCGTTAAGGTTTCGCTTCTCAGTTGTGGCAAAACTGGAGAAGAGTGGACGTCGAGCCTGAATGCCAAAACTCGTGATGAACTGCTCAGGGGTGTACGACCCGGGTGCGACGGCGGCTGGCGTGGGGCCATCGGCTCCAAATGCTGACACGCGTTTTGATCGGGTTGTGATTGTCATCGTCTGGACCAGCTTCAAAAGTGAGAGCAAGACCTGCTTGTCACTCCCAAAACAGCTCACCACTGTACATACTCGACTTCACAAATATACTTCAGGCATCAAAGATATATTGGGAAAGAGGTGCATTTCAATTGTTCTTGTCTTGATTTCCTATGCGATATCAAGACGTGCGAGCGGTTCGCACAATCGACGAGCGAGGTCTGGACGATACGTGGCCAACTTGGTCTGAAGTAAAGCAATCTCATCCAGCAACTGGCGTAATGACACTCCGGATTTGGAACGATGCGGATCGGCGCAAAGGATTCGGCCGGATGGTGGTGCCGCTGCGGAGCGTCCGTGTGAACGGAGCTCGTATTTGGCCAGTTCCTTCTGCAACTGCTCCATGACGGGACGCAGTCGACGCTCGTGGATCTCTAACCATTGGCGAGTGAGAAGACTCGCCTGGCGCAGAGTCGTTGGGCGGCCGAGTACTTTAATCCGCGCACCTTCATGCAAGTCCCAAACAGAAAGAGGCACCCCAGTCACAGCATGCGCAACGTGGGAAATAGTAAATACGTTAGGAGAATCCTCCAACACCACCTGAAAATGACGTGTCGGGATGGAGAAGTAAAGTCGCAACCGGCATTGTCGTGTCTCCCCTTGAAGAGAGGTCTCCTTCCACCAGCAATGGAAACACAGAATCTCCAATTCAGCAATGCTAGATTACGATGCTCACAAGAATCAGTAGTGATCCTATGCCAAAGCTAAAGCTTTGACGTACTTCTTCATCGATGTCTGCTTGTGCAACGTTGCAGCATGTTCGAACTCTTGTGGATCGGCAGCTCGAGTCATGGGGTCTGCGTCATCAGCGTTGTCGCCAAGTAAGGGCTCCAAAGGGTGCATATCTTGTCGAGACTTAGTAACGAAGTCGTAATAGAAGACACTTGACGTCTTCGTTGTTGAAGCTTTCTCGTCCTCAGGGGACAGCCGCTCTTCAAATGCCATCCACGCAGACGTCTCGTTTTCCTGTTGACCGCTCGCTTCTTCCTGCTGGTGACAATGACGAAGCAGCTTGATCTGATCGAGGAAATAACGTTCAGCGATATTGCCATCGTCGCCATGCTGTCGCTTAGGAGGGTTCGGAGTGGTAGCTGCCTGCTTCAGAAGGGGAAGCAAGTACAGCTCCCTATCTAGATCTACATCAAAGTGACACGCCTGCGAATACAAGTCTTCAGGTGTAAGTAAAGTGGTTGATCTGTCAGAAGCCATTGGTCTTGTCTTGCGTTGCAACGAATGTAGCTATTGTGCTTTGCCAAACGGCATGAGTCTTTGTCACTAAAAATATTCACCACTTCCTCCTAGAAGTTTCTACTACGCTGATTTTACCGTTTTTTGATGATGAGGGCGTCTAGAGTTGGCCATCTTTACAGCAACAACTCTTGCTTTGTATCGAGGCTCCCATACCTCACGCCAGTTGGATACAAGAGAGTCTAGATTGTACTTGTGTATGCGCGGACACGTGCGCAACCGACGAAGCTCCCTACGCTTGAAAAACTCGTTCGTAGTGAGGTTGCTGGAAACCAGGTACAGGTGAAACCCGACAAAGCACAACAGCGCGAAGCCCATGCCGACACAGAGGACGAACAGCACCGTGACGACAGATTCTTCATGGATCAAGTATCGAATCACGACCATCATATCGCCTTGTACAACAGTACCGCTTTTTTCGTCCAAGAATTCGTCGCCCAGTAAATGGCCGTACTCGTCGGCCAGAATTGCGTACAGCACGTATGAGCCGTAGCTGCACAACAGCGCATTCATCTGCGATCAATGATACAGCAACAATGCACGATAGGTTGAGCTTTACATGTAGTATCGGAAATAATAGTGCTGCTAGGTTGTACCAGGAGGAAGCGCAGGAAGACTCGGTGATTGCATTCGCCGATGCAAGTGTTTAGCCACCCGCAATCTGTCAGAGGAAGAGCACACGTTAGAATTTGCTCATCGAGACTTTGGAATTGTGTAGCGCACGGTGATCAAAGCGCGGGACGCATTTGTTGCAAATGGAACAATGCTTGGAGCGAGCGAGTCTGAAGGCAAAGCGCGACGTGACCGGTTAGAAGATGTCAGCACATGGACATCGTTTGATAATAATACAACTGACTTGGTGGTTTTGCAAGTTGGGCACTCGCGTTGGCGGTACAGCACATTGTCGAGCTCGTAATTGTCGAAGTACACGAGCGTCTCTGTCATTGCGTGAAAAATCAAGCACATAATGCTGAGTAGTGGTCCAAGCGACAATAACGACGCAATACGTACGAGGTAGTAGAATTCCTGGTGCCGACATGGAGGCTTGGATGAAGCTATGCAGCGCACCCAGCACCGCTATGAAGCTCAAGTATCTACAGAGCGCGTGGTCAGTCTTCTGGGCCCCGGGTGGATAAGCGAGGCACGTACATGTGGATCTCACCGAGAGAGTCATTGGGGATACGCGGTAGTCCGGAGAAGAGGAAGGCGCTGTAGCCTCCGACAACCAGTAGCAAGTAGAAGATCTGACAGCAGCAACGTTAAATGTAGCCATGTAAGAGGGATGGATACACGACGTGACGAAAGGATACTTTTTGTCGCGCATCGTGACTTGCCAACGCCACGCGGCAGTTCGCTTCATACTGTACCTGTTGCAGCGGGTTCGGCTGGTACAGCGCGAAGTCGACTAGCCGCCCGAGGAGGCCAGCGCTGTCAGCTACCCACTCCGCCGCCATCCGCTGTATTGACTGCTCACCACTGGATCCACGTTTCGGCCCGAACAGGGAGTGTATGTCTTGATTTTTACGCTTCTTTCTTTTTGTATTTATAAAAAAATCGAAGTACAAATACAGTACATGTCTTATTAATTAAAAGTACAAGACTCGAGATCACCGTTCAATTTATCTTGATCCATGGAAAAGGCGGGGTTTTATTCCAACTGCATCCTTTGGTGATAGTGTTGACTTCCTAGTCCGCCATTTACCTTATTCGGCGCTTCAACTTCTTCGCTTACAAAAAAACTGTAGGAAATCCGGCCCAAATTGACCCTTCGGTGTGAGGGGTGGGGGAGAATTTGTGGACTCAGCGCTCTCTGGCGCCATCAAAACCCTCCATCCCGAATAGCTTAGATGATCGTGCTTGAAAGAGCGCTTCACATCCAGAGAGTTTACGGCTTGAAAACCCTCTCACAGTTTTTTTAAAAGTACCCAATCGGTGATCGCGACACAGATCTCGACGCCCCCAGTTGGGGTTTGGGCGCTGCCTCATTTCCGCTCTTGCGAGGAGCTTCCGACAAGCCTCGACGTACGTCATCTCCTCACGCGACCGACGCGACACCCGCCCGTAGTCATGAGCACGCGCGTGTTTGTGCGTCTTTACGACGGATCGACGCTGCATGAGACCGACGACGAGGTGCTGCAGCTGCCGCCGCCGCCGCTCAAGTGGAAGGACGCCATCACTGCAATGGTGGCGGCTGTTGGCAAGCAGGGCGAGTACGAAGATGGAGTGACGACGCCGAAGGCGCGACTCTTTTTGCTGCCAACGGAGGCCACGGGCATCGCTGCTGAGGTGAGTCTCGCGCTGTAACTGTGAGGTGGCGCAGGTGCTGACATTTTTACTCTGATTTGTTTAATCTAAAAAGCTCAACGCTCGTTCTCTACGCTTCGGTGTTCGCGAAAATGACCGCTTCGTGGTTTGTCTGCGGGGTGAAGACTACCAGCAACCCAGCGAGCGACAGGCCACTTCTGGAAGTGAGGTCGCTGCGGCTGCCACTGGTGGATCGTCGGCAAGACCCTTGACGCTGTCCACTCCAAGTGCCAGCAATGCCACTTCGCAACCCAGTATCTCTCCCTACGCTAATAGTCAAGCCACGGGCAATGCTGCACCTTCTGGGAACATGGGAGGACCTCCCAGAGGAGGGATGGGAGGCAGCGCTCCTTCCGGAGGCCTGATGTCCAGTGGCAAGAAGGGAAACAAGCGCTATCGCAGTATTTCAGGCAAAATGGCTGCAATCAAGTCGCTGGGTGACAAGGGTCTTATCTCCAACGACGATCGAGGCCACTTGAAAGATCTGCTGCTGAACAACGACTCTCCTCAACTGCAAGAAGCGCTGTACAAGTACAACAATACGGGCGACTTCCAGGCTGTAAAGGAGCTGCTGCTCAAGGAGATCCAGAATCCATCTTCAAAGCGCAACACCGGCGAATGGCTGTCGGAAAGTTTTGTCAACGATATTGCTCTCAACTTCAACACAACGCCGCCGGCTGCCAAGTCGGAGCCAGTGGCAGTGCAAAATGTCAACAATACGGGGCGATTCAACACGGTGCCTGCAGCGCTGGCTCCTACAGCGAACACGTATGCATATCAAACGAACCAGTCTACACCGATGAATGCGACCAATTACTCGCAGAGCTCTCCCATGACAATGAACCAGTACTCGACTCCCACAAATATGGTTACTTCCACTGCCGGAGGTATGCCAGCTAGTAATGGATACAGCTCTGGAATGAATGGCTACCCACCCACGACGATCATGACGCAGCAATATCACCAGCCACAAGCCTCGCCGACCAACATGTACGCTAATGCACCTCCGCAGATCAATCTGCCTCTCAGAGATCGTGCTACATACATGAAACGGGGATACGAGTCCTCGCCTGTGCACAATATGATGGAAATGAGCCCACCTGCAGTATCTCCCGCAGCCTCTGCCCACATGGGCATGAATGGCTACGGTATGCAGCAAGGGTACGCCATGAACCAAGGGAATTATCCAGCAAACGTTATCTACGCTGGAGATCAGTCGCAGTACACCATGAACGCGTACATGTCCGGCGCTAATGGCGGGTACAATCCGTACCAGCAGCAGCCTCAGTATGCTATGAACCGGTACGGGTACGGCAGTATGCAGCCTGACATGGGCTACAATTTCTACGCTGCGGGCTACGGATTTGGCAAGGCGCAGCTTCGTGCTGGTCCAGGGGGCAAGTGGACCACTGCTCCACCGATGCCATCGTATCCTCCGCCGTGCTCGAAGGAGGAAAAGAAGGAGAAGATTGCCAAGTGGTTGAAAAAGCGCGAGAACCGCAACTGGTCCAACAAACCATCTTATCCCGTGCGGCACAGCATCGCCAAGAACCGCAAACGTGGAGAAGACGGTCGGTTTATCACAAAAGCGCGTTTGGCTGAGATGGCAAAGGAGGAGGCAGCAGCAGCGGCAGCAGCTGGGAATAGTGACGAACCTCAGAAGGCATCTCCTCCGTCGTCTACTGCCGGAGAAGCTCCGATCTCGATGGTGTCTCAAACTGCCATGCCTCAGGCTACGTCCGTGCCGTAGCTCTTTTCTTGCTGCGATAGATTAGTTTGTAAAATCGTTGAGGTGTAAGTAAATACAATCAATTCGTGAAAAGCGTAAAGTGTCCCAAAAACAACTGAACGTTTTCGATTGAATACGTGAAGTGATCCAGCTTACAATCTGTAAAAAACGTTTTTTTTCACGTTTTCAGAACTCGTTGTAGCGAGTTGCAAGTTGCCAGGACTTAAGAAATAATACGTGTATCACGAAATGGCTAGTTGTAAGTCCTTAAAAGTGCGCAACATGGAACACAATACCAGTCTATTATTGAACAAACACACTAGACACTCTACTTATGCTGTAGTCATGCTGGCCTGGCATATCCTCAGAGTGGAAGGACTGCTGGGCTAACTCCAACCGGCACAACTGGGTCTTCAGTCGTCTTGTCAACTTTCAAGTCGTTCAGCTTGATAATATCCCGGAGGTTATGATACTCGTTCTTGGAGCTGCATACCATTTGGCCGTCTTCCCAACTGTAGCGATTCCAGTTGAGGATCGAGACTGCCCACTGGTCTGAGACCTCTCGCGTTGATCCGGCAAAAGTCATCGACACCACATTATCCCCATCAACGGGCTGCCGGGCACCACGTCGGCGAACGGACGGAGTGCGAGGTTGAGCGTCTACTCGAAATTGGTTGGACACTTGGCCCACTTCGTCGGAGGAAGGAAGTAGGAACACGTCAACCTTGGACCCTGACAACCCAATAGCTCCCAACAGCTCGCCACCCATGCGCGAGAAGTACTGCAGCATGCCTTCATCGAGGATACAGTACACGATACGGGCTTCGTCACCCTCAATCTTGAGCAGATAACCTTCAACGTTGCCTCCGTAGCTCATCTTTCTTGATACTTTAGAAATGCTAAGCGAAGACTGGGCGGCAAGTGGAATGCTGGCAAATAGGAGAGTGAGGAAGCTTTGCATGGTGGACTAGAAGACGGACCCTATGGCAGAGTTGGGCAAGAGCACCAAGCGAAGCAAACGGATGGGAGCACATGCCATGTGGTTCGAGGACGACAGCAGGGAGCCAAAATAGGAACAGACATTGAAGATGACTTGTCCGACTGAATGGTAGCACCGCAGACTCTCTTCGCTTCCGATATCGGCTGTCTCTGGGTGGTCAACCACATTCCTACCTCTTGGATACCGACGTCACGTGCCGTATGCTCAATTAAGTGAGCACTAAGGAGTGACAAGATCAATTATTCATAGATAATTGTTATTGCCTTATAGAACGAAAGCTAGGATGTCGTTGGCGTTACAAGCATTGTGCCCCCTCATACCGAGGCTCAGTTTCTTCTAGCTATTATGCCGCCATCGAGGGTGATTTGGCAGCGCGATTCGAGCCTTCCTGGCGACAGTCCCCCTTCGACCGAAGTGCTGGACGCCATGCGTTCGTACGCTGAGGGTCACCAGGTACAGGAGATGTTGCATATTCTTCTGACACGTTTGTTAGAGACCCAGCCGCTGGACTCGTTAGAGTTCCTCATTCAGACTCTGCAGAAGGATGACCAGCTGGACGCGATGGTAAAGAAAGCTACCTTGCGTCGATTTGATCTGCGGCGTGAAAAAACCAAGAAGCATCTGATACTCCAGTTTTACAAGCGTTTGGTGGCACTGCAGCGTACTCAGCACGTCGACAAGCTCGAAGCTCGGGGGATGCATCTCGCGTGTGGGTTTTTGACTTCGCAACTGCGACTCGAAGAGACCCGATGCCATATTCAAAATCTTTATCCGAGCCACTATCGAGACCTCATCGCGTGGTTCATCGACCATGAAGCAGAATTGCCCACAGGAATCCCCGCTGAGCTATTTGCCAAGACGTGCATGCAGGTCTTGAAGACACAGGCAACAGCGTAAAATAAGCAACAATGAAATGGGTACACCAAATAATCGGACTTTGCAAAACAATTTTCATTTTTAGATTTGAAAACAATTGTGAAAATGGACAGACCGATGCCTCGCCGCTTGAGGGCTGCCGATCAAGGCCCCCTGGACTGGTTGGTGCCTTTCATTCCGCCAGTGCTGCGGGTGAACCGCGATACGCGCGCTAAAATTCGCCGCAAGGTGGAGCAATTGCTGTCGAAGGAAACCCTGGAGAGCATGGCTCTTACCCTCCGACCCCATTGGCGCTCTATCGCGTTTTACTCTTTCGTGGTATCAGTGTGGATCGGGGGTCTAGTCTTTATCAACCACAACGAACCCGAGTTTGCAGTGGCGTACGTGATCCTCTCAGGCTTCGCTGTGCTAGGCTATCATTTGCTGTTTGGCGGAGAGAGACGTGCTGACGGAATAAGCGCATATTCAGTCTTCAATCGCGGCGCCCAGAGAATGTTGGGTTCGTTGTCAGCTGAACAGTTTGAGGTATGGTGGGTTATCGCTAGGCTTTTGCTTAAGAAATATTGAGATTGCGATTCTTTTTGTCCTGCAGAACGAGATTCGTCACCGACAACCAGGATACGAAGACGTGCCAAACCCACGTCGACGATATCAAGCGGCACAGGATCCAGATCAGCTCGATGAAGTGTACGACGAAGGTGATCCGTACGTTGTTGCACGAATGTCTACTCGTGTTAAGACGAAAGCGGAACTGATTTTTGCTTCTTTGCAGTGAAATGATGGAGGCACTGAAGCTCTCACTCCAGGAAAAGAAACGGGAGGCGCGTCGAGCTCGACGTACTAGTCGTAAAAAGTGATTGTGTTTTTGTTAATACTGCGAAGTAAGCGCTCTTTTTCAGTTCACATTGCAACTACTACTACAGAACACAGTCTGCATTTTGTATCGAGATTCAAGGGCTGTCAGCTAGAACCCCAGTGGACAGCGACTGATGCGCTTCTTTGGGTTACCATTCTCGTCCAGTTCTACCATTTCTGCTAGCTTTTCGGGTGAAATAGGAGGGTGGCCAGGTGGAAGCACGACCTCTCCAGGCGCAGCGTTGGCCTTCCTGTTCGAGTATCTCAGCATGCCATTGAGCACACCAACTGCAAAGCAATAAGAAGTGTTAAATATTAAAGTAGTTTTAACCAAAGCGATCAAAACGCACCTGAAAAGAGGACGGACCCCGTCACCATGGAGGGCGAGAACAGTCGAAGCTCAGACACCGATGTCAAGTTGTCGTCCAGTGCTACCATCGCAATGGACACAGCACCCGACACCACCAGAGTGCAAATACCAGCCGTAGCCATCGACTTCAGGGTGGCAAATTGAAGAATTAGCCTCTATCCAAGCAACAAGCACTGAGAGGAATGTCATACCAGGGACGCGTCTCCTGCTACGATGGAAGCAATAGACGAACTTGGCGGCGACGGCTTCACCGGAGGTTCACCAACACCATTAGCAGCAGTTGTCAGCTGCGCCACCGCCCGTTGCTTCATCGTCGCTGCGCTAGTGTTTAGATCGACGCCCATGTCTTTCGCTTGCGTTTGCTGTCTGCTTTTGCTGAACTCAAAGTTGTCACGCACACGCAAGCTGTTTGATAGTTTTAATCCTATTTAAGAGAATACCTCGGTCCGACCTACAAGTGATCATTACTGCAACTTCAATTGCTTCATCAGAGCTGCAATGTCCCTCTCTACTTCCTCGTCCTCTGTCGTTTTCACTGAAACCCCCTTGGCTTTTATCACCCAGTTCGCGGCTTCCTCGGTTCGCTTCATTTTAAAGTAGGTCTAATCACCAAAGACGTCAGAAAATTTGTCCAAAACTGGTTAAAAACTCCAAAAACCAAATACCTGTGCGAGGAAAAACACATTCTTCTTCCAGAACCCGGGACTAATGTTTTCTGTAAAAACAAAATGCACCAATAGCATTTGTGATAGCTGAGCCAGAACACGCATGCCAACGATTTGTGTTACCTGCTGCGTGGAAGTGCTCCACAGCTTCCTCATACGTAGCAGAAGGTGGAGCGCCGAAGAGTGCAGCTGCAGCGCGTTTTTCGATCCAAGTCATGTCGGCAAAAGCCAAACACCATTGTCCAAGGATGTTGCGAGACGTGGCGTCAGTCGGGTCCAGCTCGATGGCCCGTTGAATGTGATCCTAAAGAGCGCAACACATTGCAACATTAAGGAGAGAGACTTTGACAATGAACGACAGTAGCTCGCTTACTCGGATGACGTATGCTCCTGCGATTTTCTCCTTTAGATCACGAAAGTTCCCCACCGTGCTGTATTTTATGCACAAGTCAGCGAAGTGTGAGCACACGTGTCATTGCTAGCACATGGGTACCTACCTACCTGGTCATGATGGCCATCCACTTATTGGAAGCAGCCGAGTCGCTATTCAGAGCAAACGCCTTCTCTGCATGGGCCAATCCTTCAAAAGCTAATGCCTTCTTTTCGTCAAGTTTACTCTTCTCTTCAACGAGGTAATTGCAAGCACGAGCTACGCGCCACAACTAGATGTACAGTACACAATTACAGTCAGCGGTACCCCTCAGAACGATGTAAATTGTACTGGGACACCCACCATTTCAGCGCTGGGAGGGTACTTTGGCAACTCTGCTTTTAAATACTGCCGCGTCTGAGTATGCTGTCCTTGCTCAAATAATTCATCGGCGCGCTTGATAACTGCCGCGACATCCCCAGGCACATTTTCCTTTTCTTCATCTTCACCGTTTGCTCGGCTTGTCGTAGCGGCGGAATGTACAGCTTTGCCACATTCCTGTCAGTCTATGCAAATTATTGGTTCTGTAGCACGCTAGATGGAAAAACGTACCATCATGCTGTCGGATAAGCTCGAAGTCGCTCGCATCGTGCGGGAACACGGCTTTCTCCTCGAGAACAGGAATATCATGCTCAGTTCTCGATGAGTGCGTGAAAATTTCCATACTAGCAGCTACAATTTACAACAAGATAACATGTTATCGCAATGGTATCTGCCAATTAGACCACCGTGAATTTTACCTGTAAAGATACCGACAGCGATCCACATAAGCGGCTGAAACATTGGCAGCTCCATGAAGGAAACGCCATTGTCCTCGCTGTCCCACGTGATCACCAGTGACACAACAGTCACTAGTATCATCAGCATAAGTCCGCACATGGCCAGTAGCTGCAGCAACATAAAGCGCAGCCATCCGTCAATAATACTGCAGACTTTAAGTGATGCTATTCTCTTTGTGCTACTCTCACCATATTTCTTCCCTGGTCTATTGACTGCAATTGCTGTTCGCCCCGCTGCACTTCCTCAACGTCGTCTTCCGCTTCCGACAGCCACTCGTAATCCACATCTTCGCTATCTTGCGTCCCCACGAGCATCTGTGTCGCGCTATCTCCGTGATTGCGCACTCCTCTCGTCGCATACTTGTAGACAACAACTGCCGCTGTTGCCGTGCCGGCCACTGCCATCAACGGCCAAAACCAGCGATAGTTTGGCGTCATGCGCACTTCAATTGGAAGATGATGCCTCCCAAAAGTCGGGTTTAAAAAAACTGGTACAAACCCAAATCATTTGAAAAATATTTGACATTGAAAAAAAGTCGAAAATGGGTACTACGCGCGGCCTAGAACGCGGTGGGGACAAGCCCAAGAAACACAAAGACCGCGGCGTCAAGTTCAATGAGAGACACACGAACAAGTACGGTCTGTCAGTGTGCAGTCGCAACGCCAAGACGAACGCGGTGGAGTCTGTTATGTGCAAATTTTGCGTGGCTTTCGGGAAGGAGTCTTCGGCTAACGCGACCCGCAAGCGGCGTGCGACGGCCAACATCAAGTACTTTCGACAGCCATTCCGCGCAGATCATTATTTGTCACACCTGGAGATTAATCACAAGCATAAATGGGCCGAGTACGAGCAGTCGTCGAACCCTGAGAAAGCAAAGTTCTTTGCGGCCCATATCGAGGAGGCCACCATCAACTCGCTGGCGATGGCGCAGCAGCAACTCTTCAAAGAACAAACTGACAGTGTCAGCAGCGCGGGGGAAGTGGTGGGTACAGATACGCCTGTTGTCCAGCGTGTCGGTCCTGTGCGCCTTCCAGCTTCGGTGATCGAGAAGCGCCTGGTTGAAGAGATTGTCGGGGATATGTTTTTCAATGCAAGCGAAGAGGAGGAAGTCTCGAAAGACCAGGCTTTCAGCGTTTTCCACTGCAAGGAAGCGGGCATGTACGAAATCGTCATCAAGAATCAGCGTCTGTACGACCTTGCCATCAAGTTTGTGGCCTGCGGTGCGTCGTTCCGACTGGCATCACGCATGGTGCAGTGCACAAAAGAAGAGACAAAAATGACCTTTTATGGTGGCTGCTCGGACAACCGAGTGGCGGGTTATGTGCGTGCTGTGATTGCCAGCAACCTGCAAAAGATTGCGCTTATGATGCGCTCCTCGTGGGCGTACGCGATTGCCACCGATGCAACCGCTCATCAAGGCACTTCGTACTTGGACATCCGCGTACGGTTGTGGCAGAATAGATCGCTGCATGACTTTCATCTCCTGACTGTGCCTGCATTGAACCAGCACCCCGCCCCGTCAATTATGAAGACGCTAGAAAAGTTCTTGGACGTTATGGATGACAAATGGCGAGGTAAACTACTTGGCACAACTACGAACGGCGGTGCCAACACAGGACGCAACACGGGGGTGACAGGTAGCCAACAGGGTCTTTCAGCGCGTCTCAGCACTGCTGTGAACAAACCTGGTTTCTACCTTATCTGGTGTGGTGTGCACCAGTTGGAGCTGGTAGTGAAGAACTGCGTCACCACATTTTGTCGGAAAGCTTTTTACGATGAACTGGTGTCGATACTAGCTGCTTTACGTCAGGACCAACAGAGGTATCATCAAGAGGGATCGCTCTCTCTTTTTGAGAATGATAGTATCCCTGATGTCACCACTGCGTTCTCGTCTACTCGCGGTTTCTCCGAGAAGTTGATGCAGGCGCTTAAGTGGCTAACGGAGCATCGTCAAGCAATTATGGAGCTCCGTCAAACAGCGTCCGCAGTCTCTGTTCCGTCCGCTTCGTGGTGGGTTTGTGTAGCCGTTGCTCACCGAGTGATGGCTGAGATTGTGTACTTTATGAACAAGTTGCTGAGTTTGGAGAGCGGTCCGAACAAAGTGAGGGGCCAAGTGCAGGAGCTGTGTAAACTCGCTCTCATTATGGCAGATGTGGTTGGAGCTCGACGAGACTTGTGGGAGTCACCAGATCGTGAAGAAGCTTGCGTCGCAGGGTCGTTCCAATTGTCTTTCCAGAATGCCCAGCAGTTTATTCAGAACGAGGGTGGTCCACTGGCAATTGAGGTGTTCGACACGCTTGGTGGGGTGGAACGGCTACATGTCGCCAAGTCTGTGGCGCATTTCGCTGTGAATTTGATTGCAGGTGTTGCCACAATTGCTCAGGAAGGGCGCCACTACTGCACTGAAGACGTTGGTGTACATGTGAATCCGCCTATTGCAATGCCTATCCAGGTTTGTGAAATGGGTCAGGAAGCTTTTTTAAAGATTCTGAGCGAACAAGAGCCACGTTTGCGTGAGACCTACTCGGACGAAGACATAATGACGATCCAAAGCGAGTACGAAGAGTTCGTGCTGGCTGTGCACCGTGAGCCGATTCTCATCGGAGTGTTGAAGAAACATGACCGTCATACCGACGTATCCTTCGCCTGGTCCTGCGTTAACGGCAGATTCCGCAAGCTGCAGGAGTTCATGGGGGGCTTCGCCACGGTGGTTCCGGACCTGTCTGCAGGTACTTTGGCAGCAGATCTAAGTCGATTGAACTGGGAGAAGCCGGACTACCGCCAGACGAAGGTCGACTTTGCTCTTGAAGGCATCTTGCATGCCAAACAGAAGATAAAGGTGGAGCTGGTGGAAATTCACTGCATGAAATCGACCACATCTTCTTTCAGTGGCGATGGGAGTGTTATGGGTAGCACTCCGGTTACTCCGGACGTGGTGGATCTCGCTCAAGCACACGCGCCTGGTGGTGGCTCTTTGACGGCAGCATCTCTGAATGCCGGTATGGTTAAAATGCCTCTTCCTAACGCGACGATGGCGATGCCTCTGAACATGCAGCCCAGCATGACCACGCAGGATATTGCCAACCTCTCTGGTGTTCCGATGGTAGAGGCCAAGACCGGCACTAGCAGTTCAGGCGGTGGTGGCAACATTGTTCCCGAACATGGCTACATGTTTTTGTGACCCAAATCGGAAGTGTACATAAAGTGGGAATAATTACTAATGCCAATTTGGTCTTCTACTTTTGCCAAGTCACCGGCTTCCTGGCAACTCTGCTGTACCATGAGAGCAGCACAACTTCTTCTGTCGATATTAGTGCAACTATGTTTGTACCCCACCTGGCTTGTGCTGGCCAAGGAAGTCTTCACAGGCAAAGCCACGACGTACGGCCTCGAATCAGCCCTCGGAGGGAGTTGTAGCGCGCGTATGGCACCGTACGGCCTCAATTCCTCGCTTTTCGTGGCGATGAACTATGATCAGTATTACGAGTCGTCCAGCTGCAGTCGCTGCTTGTCCATCACAGGCGAAAGCGGCACAGTCACGGCCTTTGTGGCAGACCTGTGCTACGAATGCGGCCACGGCAATCTCGATCTGAACACAGCGTTGTGGTACACCGTGGTAGGAGGAGACCCGCGCATCTCCGAGATCTCGTGGCATTTTACGCCTTGCCCGGACGAACAAGAGACTTTCTGCTGGAAGGAAGGCAGCAACCCACAGTGGTTCGCATTGCAGGTGCCAAACTCGCGCGACGGCATCAAATTGATGGAAATTAATGGCGTGGAAGGCGAAGTTATCGGAGTAACTTCCTTTTACCAAGTTTCACCATCTGAAGCCATTGACATGGAGAATGTCAACGTGAAAATCACGTCTAACCAGGGAATCACGTCCAAAGCAACGCTAAAATCCTCCGACTTCAGTGACTGCCCCATGACAGATGACTCCACGAGCTCGAAAGCCGGAACCAGTGGTGGCGCCACCACGACGGTGATTACCGACATTACAGGTGCAACTGCACACTACACGGCTTGGCAAGCTTATAAGCGACGAAGAATGAAGTTTTACTAGAACCCTGAAGTGCATATTAAGATTAAATGGTGTGTTGACATTGCATCTGTCGCTTTGGCACTTTACGAATGTATTTATTGTGTTTCTGAGTGAACGCATTTGCAGTCAAATGTTTTTTTTTGCTCGGATAGTTGCAAGCTAGCCCTGTTGATGTGCATTGGTGTTCATTCTGCCCGTGAATGTGAAAGGCACCTTGGCAAAGTTCTGCATGTTTTTCTTCCAGTTCTCCGTCATGTCGCTCATCTTGCCCTCCATTTCCGCGATCTTACCCGTGGGCTTGCGCTGCATCCCCAATGTGTCGAGATACGCCGCCAGCTCACTCTTCTTGAGCCCTTTCACAGCCATAATATTCTGAAAATCCTCCGCAGAACCCTCAGGCCACATGATCTTGAAGCTCTCGACGAGCATTTCGTTCGGAGTGCCAATTAGCTTCAGCACGTTTTCCACCGTCGCCATCTCGTTCGAGACGAACTTGGTATAACGCGACGGGATCGTCGCTGTGCTCGTTGAGGTGGAAGAGGATTGGAAGCCGTCGTTGTTCAGCACTGGCAGTTGAAGGAACAACGTCTTGAGAGCGTACACGTCAAGAAGAAGTTGCTGCGTTGCTACCTGGTTCATCCTTCGGCACTTGTACACGGCCTGCAAGATCTTGGGCACGAAGGACGCCGCGAACTTATCGCAAAAGTTGGTAAAGTACAGTCCAGACAGCATTTGGCGCAACACCGGCACAAACGTCTGCAGCTTCTCGCCCATTTGCGTAACGTACAAACTCTCGTCGCCCACGGCTTCCCATGTCTGCCAGTTGGCCTTGTGGAGTGCGTTCAAATCGTCATCCAGCGACGTCTCCAATCCAGCAACGATACACTTCATGGCTGCGGCGCCCACGTCGTGGAACGTATCGATCTCTTGTGATAACTCAATGGCTTCACTATATGCCTTGTCAATCTTCGCTCGAATTACTTCCTCCAGAGATGGCAGCGTCTCAGCGCAGTACTCGGCCGTATTGATTACGAAACATAGTTCCTCTTCCTGTTTATCGCTCAATTTGACCTTGTTGCTCGCACCACTGCTTGAAGAATCCAGACCGCCTGATGGCCCAGTCGAGGCAGCAGGGAGTTTCGCGAGAAGTCGTTGCGAGTAGAGCTGAAAGCAGTGTTTGAACTCGTTCTGGAGGTCAAAGAACGTCTGGCCGTTTGTCAGGGCCGTACATCGTTTAATTGAATTGCGAATGTAGGCAAACATGTTCACGGAGCTCGAGAACACTGGCAGCTGGCCGTTCCGATCCACCAACTCGGCGCTCATCACCTCGTTGATCATCTGCTCCATGTTCTTACGCTCCAGTGCTACATACGCCGTCATGAACGGGTCGAATGAGCGAGATATCATTCCCCGAATAGTCGGCAAGCCCTGGTTATTGTCGCCCGTGAGCTCACCGTTCTTCTCCATTTCTTCTTCTAGCGCCTTACGCTCCGCCTCACGCTTCTTACGACGATGTTTTCTCTTGATTCCTTCAGCGAAATGTGGGTCAATGGCATCGCCGTTCTCGTCCAGTTCCACTTCCTGAAGCTCTTCTCCATCGGCCATCCCTTCGAAGCGCTGTGCTGCGTCACGTTCAAACATGAGCGTTCGTTGTAGAGACTTCAGCAGCAAAGTCACGTCCATCTCGTCTGGAGTGTGCGCTCCTATTTGTGCAAGTAAATGGGTCCGCGTTCGTTCACAGAACTGAATGCACATCCGTCGAGCCATTCGCCAATGCTTTGGGAAAATAGCGTTCAAGCGATCGTCGATGGCAGCAAGGAGATTGTAGAACCACTTGTATCTCGTTTCGGCCTGGTGCAACCTAGCGCACTCTCCCCCGTCCCCGTAAAGTCTCTCGTAGGACATCAACTGTTCGTCACAAAATAAATGGACCAGTTTCTCTCTGGTTGCTTTGCCCAAGGCATCGACAGCTGCACGCGCAGCCGAGAGGTTGGCAAAGACAGCTTGTCGTTCTTCTTCGGATGGAAAATTGTCCTCCAACGACTCCATGGGGCCAATAGACCGAAAGTCGGCAAAGATCTGTCCGCCAAGTTCTTCCTGCAATGTGCGCACAGGTGAAGAGTTAGTTGACAGCTTTGAGCAAAGATGCGGCCTCGCGATAATTACGTTGCGAGGACATAAACTCTAGCTGATCAACGGCAATAACCAGCATGTGCAGCCGCTTAAGCGCCGTGAGCGTGGTCTGCAGATGGCGCTTAGCATAGTCGAGCTGCTTGATGTCGCGACAGATCTCCTGCACCATGACCTCGATCTGCTCTGCCTTCCCTCGGATATCGTGGATCTTGTGGAAAAGCTGCTGACTCGCCGTTTTCGCTTCCTTCAGACCAACAAGCGCCTGATGTGCCGCTAAACTCTGGTCTTGTGACGCCTGAGACAGCGAGTCGTCGAGCTCCTTCATACGCCCGCGGAGACGGCTCACAAAGTCACCAATGTCCCCCAGACTCTGCTCGTCCGGAAAGTTTCGGTTGATGAACTCGCGCGCATCGAACTCAGGTCGGTCCAGCAGGTCCTCCGAGGGCAAAACCTGTACATGAGACGTTGGTGAGACCTGGCAGTCAACTTGATACAGGACTGCAACACGAGGAAGATACTTTGGCTAGCGTGTCCTCCACGTTCTGAGGGAGTTTTAATGCACGTCCATCGCCGTCGCTGTACTCGCTGGCCCTGGGCCACGACGCAGTAATCGATCCATTTTCGACTCTTTTGAAGCTCGAGGATAACATATGATGGGATATTAGGACTTTCGAAATATTGCTTACCAAGATTTAAATAATATTCGTAAGAAAGAAAGTAGAAAGTAGCAAAAATAAGAGCACCCCGTAAAAATTGATTTCTTACACTTTTGTGATACCGGTAGCTTGGTGGTACAATACTGCACCCCGTTTTCGCGTGGTGGACCATATAGGATTTGCCAATAAATCAGATTTTAGCTAACAGACTTTTGCTCATTTGGATTCGGTATCATAACATCCGAAAGGTCCAATGGCGCGAAAACGGGGTGCAGTACTGTACTAGCATCAGGACTGTCTGAACTGCTGTTTATTTAGTTCGCAGACTTAATTCTGCGCGGGGAAGCTTTCAGCTGATAATCTTCTTTTCTCAGATTCCGTCCTCGACCCCACACTCTTGGTATTAATAGGACCTACCTCGGACAAACCAAGAAGCTTCGTTTCGGTATGCATACGTCAACCTGAGAACAAGGTCTTATCTAGAATGACTTCCTTCCCCTACACCCGTTTCGAGCGAAACCTTTGCTCAATTTTCAAGAAAGAGAAGAGAAAAATGAGCGCATACTGCGACGGGGATTCGTATTGTTCTTCCAGCGCAATATACGACGTGGTCCGGCCAACATCAACAGTCGCAGCAAGTATGACGACTTCAAAAACCGCCGATGAAATCCGCGGCGCCATGGATGCGCTGAAGCTTGAAGTGATTGCAACTACTTCGATCAAGATGACGACGAACTTGATCCGTACGTCGTTTGTGAGGGAGTCTCTATTGCTGCTTTCAATGAGTATGTTGGAGACGGCGAAGGGCTGCGGATTCCACTTCGATTTCTCGCCCTCAACGATGGGCGTATCGTGATTGTCGAACTTCCAACGAAAGTGCATGAAAGCACTGCGGCATCTTTCGATAAAATGTTCAATCGGGCATCAGGCAATGATCTCGAGGTTGCAAGTTGCCGCTCGATGACAGCGAGAATAGCTGGCAACCCGAACAAGGAGGCCGATACGAGTTTTGGCCCAAAGAGAACGACGCTCAACCGAACACCGGCACCGGCACCCCGCACCGCTACCGATTGGGTGACACTGGCTGTGGAGATTGGAAGATCTCAGACGTGGGCGAGTCTGGAAGCAGCTGCTCAATGGTGGTGCAATTACAGTGGAATCCAGTATATTCTCCTGCTGAAAATCAGTCCTCAAGGTGTTCAAATGCGATACGCGCTTTATGACATCGCCGTACTTGGCACTCTACCAGCGCCAACTGCAAGTGGAACGTTTCGACGACGCACCAGATCTCAACCAGCTGTCAATGTCTCCTTCGACATGCGCAGAATATTATCGATCCCCCCGAATGCAGCTCTTCCACCTGGCGTGAACCCAGAAGCTCGTGTCGATCTGCGCATCGTCATGAATCTTGTCATCGACAGTCTTGATTAAAAAAAGCACTGCCATGGATTCATGCGGTTCTGCTGCAGTCTGAAACTCTGCTTTGTGAAACTACCATGTATTCATGATCTGACCAGACTCCACTAGGGACCTTCGATACGTAATGCTATGTAGTACAATGTTCTTATTAGTTTCTGCAAGTTTCAATGACTAAAATATTAGCTGCAACGGTTTTGTAATAGAAATATTAATTATTATCTGAGTGTGAGGTAGCTGACTAAGCTAGCAAATAGTAGTACATGTACAACAGAAGCTGGCCGTAAGAACAACGCTGTGATAATAAACGCTGTCACTTGATCCGTAAAAAAAGATAGCTTTAGATGAGCCCATATGTGTAACTGCTGTAAGCCATTGTTTTCTAAGAGTTGTTTAGACAGCAAGATCCCGATACTATTTAACTGGCGGACGTGTCACCGACAGGGGCGTAGGACAAGATTTTAAATGGAGCGGAAATACAACAACAAAATCACGAGAGGTGTTAAATATAGTTGATTAAGTAGACCCCATAAAGAAACGTTAATAAACTTGGAGACTTTAATAAATCATGAATAACCATCATGCCATGATCGTTAAGCTATCACATAAAAAACACGACCGTCAACACCAACAACAGCAAGGCGTCTTGCGACACATTATTGAAACGCTTTCATCAAAACTGACACGGAATCGAGTGTCTAATGACTAATTCTGAGTCAGCACAAACTGAACGCTGCATGCATAAAAACATTACAATTCGAATATTTTCGAGCTTTCATTGAGTTTTGTGTGAGAAGTGAGCAGTTTTTAGCCGCTTACAAGCTCAAATAGGCAGTACAAGCGGGTAAGAACTTCTTACTAAGAAGTGCAACCTGGACACACCATTACTATCATGTGAGCTCAGAATTGGTCCGTGATATCGACTAAAGTAAACATATTGTGAAGCGTTTGTATAAATGTTATTTGAGGTGCAGGTGGAAGGTGAATGATAGCTAACAATAATATTAATAAAAAATTGCATCATGAATATTGATGCAAGATCATTAGAGCAATTTCTTTAATCGGGCAATATGATGCTAACCCAGATTAATATAATTAAAAAAAAGGATTTAGGCACAAAGGGGTTCAGCAGGGTTTAGGCCAAAGCTAATGTAGCGGCGGCGCTTGGCTAGTAATAACTAATGCAATTTGGTCTGCTACTTTTGCCAAGCGACCGACTTCCTGGCAACGCTGCTGTACTATGCGAGCAGCACAACTTCTTCTGTCGATATTGGTGCAACTATGTTTGTACCCCACCTGGCCTGTGCTGGCCAAGGAAGTCTTTACAGGCAAAGCCACGGCGTACAGCCTCGAACCAGCCCTCGGAGGGACTGAAGCGCGCGTATGGCACCGTACGGCCTCAATTCCTCGTTTTTCGTGGCGATGAACTGTGATCAGTATTACGAGTCGTCCAGGTGCAATCGCTGCTTGTCCATCATAGGCGAAAGCGTCACAGTCGCGGCCTTTGTGGCAGACTTGTGCTACGAATGCGACCACGGCAATCTCGATCTGAACACAGCGTTGTGGTACACTGTGGTGTTGGAATTCCCACGTACAAATGTAGCTAGGACGTCTCCACAACAATACGTCTACTAGGATAGTAAACGATCGTTCGAACGGACCTGAAGACCCAGTTCTGCCCTTGCACCGGGACAAACTGGACCTTGTAAACTACTTATATAGGCCAACCAGTAAAAATAAGAACACACTTCTAGCACGAGCAAAGCTAGCCGGTGTTTTAAATCCTCGTGGTCTCAACAGCGGAAGGGTACCAGGCACGAATAAGCATTTTACGAGGTCACCGACTGTTTAACACTCGGTTGGAAGAATAAAAGGGGTGCAATTCAAGCACTCCCAGTCGGGCAAATAGGCAACAATAAGCCGTCATGTAAAACCTCCCGATAGTATTCGGCCAATACACAAAATCTCTTGGTCTTGCCGGATGAACCCTCGCTACAGAGCTTCGAGTTCACCGACAGGCATAAGACACTCAAACAAGCTTGACCTGACGCTTACCTTGAAGCCGGACGGCGCTCTGTGTGCTTGAGTGGAAATTCTGTTCTGTATTTAAGCTTACCCTTCCGGGTCTATTCCTAATAAGAAGTACTAATCAAGTTTACAAATATCAAGTGAACAATGATCCGTTATGGATCTTCTTGCATGCCAAGCGTCGTCTGCACCGTCGCATGAGTATCTTTAACGGTCCGCGCCCTGTCCCAGACGGTGAACGTGCTTCCAAAGGGTCGCTAAATCTTCCGCGAACTCATCCCAACCGCCACCGAGGGTTCGTATCGTAGATGGTCCGCTGAATGCGAATCAATTGTTAATAATCAGGACAGACTGGATTCAGTGACATATGAGCCGTATCCAATATCCGTCGAGCGTTCGGTAGTGACGCCGTCGAGTCCCTTGCACCTTGGCGTCACCGTACATCACATGACCGAGGGTTCGTCGCTTGAACATCTTGGGCGGTGTCACGTAATTTGTCGACGGGTGATAATCCGCAACTACGGAAAAATCACTATACCACAACTGCCCCTGTCGCAATGGAAGCCACGATACTGGTGCCCGTTGTGACATTTTCTCATTCTCCAATTCACCATTCAGTCACCGTATGTCCAAGCGTTTGAATCGAGCCGTGTCCGACGCGTTTCATCGTCTCAATCCTCGCCGACGTCGCGAGCGTGAACAGCTGGAGGTACGTCAGCTCATTCTTCTCTTGAATCATCGGCGCCTTGCTCATCACCATGCATTACTCGTCTTGTTTCTTAGGAGAGCAAGACCGATGTTTCGAACGCCCCTCCGCCTGCTACACTTCCTCCAACAGCAGCGTCATCAGCCGGTCCTCAGGCGCTTCCTGCCCCGGACTCTTCACCCCCTGCGGTAGCTCCTGCAGCACTCCCTGTCGCCGCTGAATCCGCGGAGATGGCTCCTGCTCCTCCTCCGGCACCTGTTGGTGGTACCCCACCACTCATCGAGGATTCGATGCGCGCCATGCTGGCTGAAAGTACGGAGTCATCGGTCGATCACATGATGAACTCGATAATTCCGTACTTGACTGCCATGGCTCGTCTCCAAGTGCAGCTCAGCGTTGTGCATTCTCTTCACGGCGATGTCCACGCTCAACGTCGCCTCGAGACTGCTTTTGGTTTTGATGATGTCCTCGCTGCTGTACAACCTCTTCCTGACGCGCTGTCGGCATTACCTGAACGGGTTGCCGACTTGGAGCGTCAGTTGCAGTTTACTCAGTCCGCGGCTTTTACCGCCGTACGCTCGGTGGCACCCGAAATCATGGCTCGTGAGGACGCGGAGGCGTTCCTCAAGGCTGCCAACGCTGAGATCGAAGCCCTTCACCACAATGTCAAGATTCTCCGCGAGTCGAACGCCAAGAGCGACGCCATGCTCGCCAGTGTTCAAGCCACCATGAAGCGACACGCAGACGACTTGAATCGTCTGCACTGCGAGGTCCAAGCTCGGGACGTTTTCATCACCACGTTGCACAAAAAGCTGGCTCGCGAACGCGAGGTGTACAAGTACTC